TCAATATCTCGACTTGATACAATTGAACAATTACACAATTCTCTAAGAGCCTTTTTAGATCCAGGTGTATTTTCCAAATACGAATGATAAACCCGTAACATATTATCACGTGATAACTTATGATAACTTTCAATTTCATCTAATCTCATTCGATAAAAATCATCTTTTGTTCGACGATAATCTTGATCAATTCTTGCATCAGCACCTTCACTATAACGTGTTTTAACAAAATTTCTAAACAAACAACAATGGACTAGTTAAATTATTGATCGATATACTTTCTTATAACAACGTACCGAATTTTAGGTACATCTGTCATTGTTAATGCTCGCTGATATTCGGATGGTTTTTTCATACTAACACTTGGAAATTGAGGAAGATGAGTACTGCCCTGTTTACGATCGATTGTATCGTTGTCAGCATGTTGAGGTCTAAATGTTGAATATTCAAATAGTTGAAAAACATTCACCTACGAATAAGATGTAGGCTATGGATATATATTACTCAGGTCAATAAATAAAGGATCCTATAGTAAAGCTATAGGATAGCTTAATGTCCGGATTTATCCTATAATAGGACCTTGTAGAATCCATATGTAAGATCTGATAGGATTCTATGTAGAATATCACAGAATTTCATAGGAATCTTGGAATATATGAAACCAAAATCTTTAGCCTTAAATCAGTTGTTTATTTACTACTAGCTTTATTTATTTATGTTTTGTCTTTTGGGTTCTTTCCTAGTCTCTGAATCAGGACTAGAACACCTTCATGTTGATGCTCACTACAGAGATCGGCGATGGACTATCTTTAGCGCCCTCGCGGGGATCGTCTCTCAGACTTCCTACCTCGTCATCGCTCCGTACCTCCTCAAGTTTTGAGAAATCTACTTCGCGAGGATCGCCTCGTAAGCTTTCTGCCCCGTGACCGCCTCGTCCATCATCAACTATTGATTCTAGATACTAGGAAGACAGAAGAACAAATAAAAAAGGTTAGAAATAACCTTTGCAATAAATAACTGTTAGAGCTTTAACTTCCACTTGGGGAAATGCTGTGTGTGCGGTAGATGTCATCTACTAAAAATATATATTTTTTAAGTGAATTGAAAAGAATTCTGTCCAGTGTCTCCATTTCTTCTTTGACTAACAAGAAAACACTAACAAGTCCCCCGCGGAGTTCGCCTCGTGCAGTTCTCGACTCGTCATGCTTTCAAAAAATCTTCCTCGCGGGAATCCTCATTCATCATCCACCTCTGGCTCACACTATTCAGTGTGAAAATTTGACTTTATTCAACTCGCCTTTTTATTTTTTTCAGCGTCGTATTTATAATTGTCTCTTCGAGAAACAAAACGGTGAATAGATTCATGCACAAAAAACGACAGAACAGAGAAAAATAGGAATCCTATGAAATTGTATCGTACGATTTCACAGAATTATATACAAATCTTACAGTAAGAATCCTAATAAGTTTTTTGTTATGATCCTTTGGTAGGATTCATATAATATCCCATGATAGGATTTTTCTAGGAAATTCATAAGATTCCTATATCCTATCATCTGTAGGATTCTGCATAGGATTCATTGACCTGGGTACATTGAGACGGAAAGGTGGTGAAGAGAAGAGAATGCGTGCACTATGATCATCTTTATATTGTAACAAGTGCTGATTTTTGTGAATGTATTCAGGGCACTAGTCTTAGCGGTTTAAGTGCCAAATTTTGTTTTCTGTGTTTCGTGTTAGTATTTTAGGAAAAACCAAACGCACACTGATGTGAATCATGACACATGCATAGACAAAAACCAATAACACATTAGTGAATTTGTTTTCTCGTTAAAATATAATTAATTAGTTGTGAGATGTTTGTGATATTTCAAAAAATATTTAGAAAAATTTTCATTACTTAAAAAAATATACAGAAGATCAGATAGAAAGAAAAAATTGTATATTATGTCGTTATTTTGTTATTTTCTTCATTTATTGTATGGTTTCGATTATGTGATTTTGTCAAGGCGGAAAAAGCATACTTCTGTACTTCTCGGTACTTCTTGATACTTCTTCGTACTTTTTTGTACTTCTCCGTACGTCTGAAGTACGAAGTACGAAATACGCTTTTCCCCTTTTCATACTTCGTACTTCAGAAGTACGGAGAAGTACAAAAAAGTACGAAGAAGTATCAAGAAGTATCGAGAAGTACAGAAGTATGCTTTTCCCCCCCTTGGATTTTGTGCGTACCAGTAATTTTTTATTGTCATGTTTGAATTTTGTTGGATTGATATGCGTTATTTGACCATCATAGGGTAATGCCGCTGGCGGTATCATGATCATTCCAGACTGACTTATGACACTAAAATACATTATGTTTGGTTGCGAATATTGGGTAAAACTATACTATTTACTAACAAAGCACAGAATATCCAGCAATTAACAATAATCTCATATATACAGTAAATAAAAAAAATGTAAAGAAAAATGATTTGAGAAATAGCAGCTATAATAGCATAATTATTTATAGAATATAAGTTAATTTGTGCATATAACAAGCAAATATTAGATGTGCGTATTGCTTAATAAACATAATGCGTGATGTGAATGCATATTAATATTTAATTTAGTGTAGTTAATGTTAAATACAATCAATACATGTTATCTACTTACGTTCGTTTATGACTTGCACTTCGAGCTTTACGTTGTTTTAATAACTCATAATTTTTACCAGAATCCATACCATACGCTTCCCACGGTTCAACAATCTGAAGGGCCGTTATTCTGGTATGATAACCTAGTGGATAATCCAAGGGCTAAAAATAACAATTTTATTAACAATTAACAGATAATCGCGAACACAGCAACGTAGTAAAAGGTTAATTTTCTATTTTTAGAGCCATTTTCTTATATATACACATACTGAATAAATTGCTTTCTCAACTGGTGCCGTATCAAAATATGGACCAAGATCGTTGTATACATACGGCTCATATGCCTTACTACAGATAAAAAAGAGAAATGAAAATTAATGAGAGTTCATACCAAAGGTGAAGATTAACTTAGGTGTTCAACGATATAGTAAATCTGGTTAGCACCTCATCTTTGTCTAGTTGCCAGTTTACTAGGCAACACGTTCTTAATCGTTTTGGACATAAATATGTCATTCACATTTTGTATTAGGAATCTAGTATTGTGAACATCATTTCTGTTCGAATTAAATTGTCTAAATAGTTGCGTGTCTAACAGGATACTGAATCTAACTCAAGTCGGCTCATCCTTTTCTCAACGGTATTGACATCTTTCTACACTGAAGTGCTCATTAATCACACATGTTCATGTTTTCTAGCTGAATCTCAGCGAATATGATTAGTATGAATACAAATTGGGAACCTCAAACAACAATGAACATATAAGAGTTTTCGATGCTTAACTGTTCTTGACGATCTACGAAGTCTCAGATTAGTCTCTCTCTGAAACAACTTTAGCGCTAGCCTGTGAGATATGGAATAACTGTTCTGAGAGCGTAAAATCATTCCTGCCCTGACGGTTCCGTCGATTTCAGTTTCAGACCAGTAGATGGCTATAATATGCCTTTTCATCGCTTTTTTAATATTCTACATTATTAAAATTTTCTTTCACAGACTAAATCTGAAATTAAACTTACTGTCGCGGACGTCTCATTTTATAAGATTCAGTCTTCAAACTTTCTCGTAGTCGCCGTAATTCTGTTTGAACATAATCTTCTTTTTTGTGACTACCTAAAAAACATAAATTTAAACATAAATAGTATCAAGATAAAAAAAGGATAAACAATAGTGACAATTTGTTTTTAAGTTTTATAGACGACAACATTGTATAAATAATCTTAAATATATATTATCTGATACACAAACTATAATATTTTTTTCGTAATAATAATAGTATAATGAATGAATGAGAAAATATATTGTTCTTATGCGAATTATCGGATAGATATGTTACATACTAATTTTTGAATTATTTTTTTGAAACAATATGTACCACGAGATACAATTATTTAACTCGTTAAAATGAGCACCATTGACAAAATGTCAAAAGAAGACGAGATTCAAGTTTTTATATAAGCATTACACAATCTTTTCAATCAGTACATGAGAGTGAATAAGAGATGCATCAGTTAAAAATATCTTAAAAATTATTTTAGAACTTTTCATTCAAATGAAGGTTTGATGATTTACCTGAAACTGCATATAAATCAACTCGTTGTTCTTTACTGTCGAGTCGGCGATCAGCTTGAAATCTGTTTAGAAAAAAAGAAAATATGAGTTCAAGTTCGATGTTTCTCACAATTGATAAACAATAAATACATACTCATAAGTATCAGTTCCTTTTCGAATTTTTACTGACTTTAAATACCAAATATCTTGTGAATCTTTTCCATCATGTTGAACAGTTATTTTACGTATCTAAACAGTTTACAATACTCTTCATTCAATTAATGTTATTAAACTTAATTTCTTACTATGCCAACATCATTGGCTTTTGTAGAAAATTCATCGATTGAATTATTTTGAAACGGTTTATCTCCCGATTTGGTCTCTTTCAATGGTACTGATATTATGCCATTTTCACCACGAATTTTAAGCAAAACATTGGAATTAAATTTTGTATCACCTGTTTGTATTGTTATCTCATAATCAGCTTCTACAAAAAGAAAAAATTTACTCACGGCAGAATATGTATGTAATATCAACACTACAACAAGACTCTATTGATCTTAATCCTACCTTGTCTATCGCTAGTATGAAAGTGTTTGATCAACTTTTTCATTTTACTATACTATTTTAGCACTATTCATAGTTTTCAAACTACTTTATCGCTCGCTCAACAAAAAAAGTAATCATCGACTCTGTAGGGTTTCAGCTATTAGAGAAAAAATAATAATTCGGTTGTTTGTTA